CCCCGGCCCGGCCCCGGCACCCCCCCGTCTGTCTCCCCCCGCCCCAGGACGCGCTCCGGCTGGGACGGACCATGAGCGATGACCCGACACCCTGGGACAACGCGACGGAGAGCGCCACGGTGAGTGGGGCCCCCCTGCCCGTCCCTGCCTGCTCCTGCCTGCCCCTGCCCACGCTGCCGTCCTCGGGGTCCCGGGGGAGGGTGGGGATGCACGCCCGGGAGGTGTGGGGTCTGCGTGGCTGCCGTGGGGCTGGGGTCTGCGCCCAGGTGGGGACGGCAGCAGCCACCCAGCCCCGCTGTCACCCACCCTGCTCTGCCAGTCCTGGGGGTGGGTGACACCTCTCTGTGCCCTGTGCAGCCCCCCCGACATGCTCAGCAGCCCCCCGAGATGCTCCAGGTGCTGGGGGTCCCAGGGGGCCCGGGTGCTGCTGCCAGATCAGCTCCTCTCCTACAGCTGGGGCTGCTGGCCCGGGGAGGGGTGCAAGCAGCGACCCCCAGGCTGGGGCAGGGCCAGGGTCCCATCCCCGCTCCCGCTCGGCGCGGGGGCCGCTGCCGGCTCTACCGCCCCGGCTGCGGTTGCCTTGGTGAAGGCAGGTCCCCGGAGCCGGCAGCAGGCCCGGGGGTGGTGGGGGAGCGCGAGCGTCTCTGGGGAGCAGCGCTCAGCGTCAGCCTCGGTGCGGGAGGGGGCTGCCCCGGCACCCACCCCGGTGAGGCAGGGTTTGGGGTTGGAGCGTGTGTCCCCCTGCGGCTCAGCCCCTGCCACCCTGTGCAGGCGGTGCCCGGCGAGGTGTCCCCCCAGGATGGCTACGTGCTGCTCCTCGCCTTGCTCTCCATCTTCATCGGGGGCACCCTGGTCCTGCTCTCCGGCATCCTGATCGTCTGCCGCCGGTGCTGCGAGGCCGACCGCCGGCACTCCAGGTGGGGGCGGGCCACGGGGACAGGCGATGCTGCTGTCCGCAGGGTGTGTGGCACCTTGAACGGGGCTGGGAGGGGGGCCAGCACAGGTCACCGGTGACCCTCCTCTCCCCGCAGAGCCAGTGATGACCCCGAGAAAACCAACACCACCTACCTGGACGACTCGCAGCCAGCCCAGGGTGAGTGCCACGGTGGGGCCAGAGGTGCCGCCGTGGCCTGCCAGCGACCACCCACCAGTAAGACCAGCTGCACCCCCAGCGCCCCGGTGGGGGTAAAGCAGCTCCTGGGCCCTCCCCGCTCCTGGGTGCAGCCCCCAGGCCTGGGGCAGGGATGGCCAGAGACCCTCTGTGCCTTCCATCACCCATCCCAGTGGTGCCCCAGCTGTGCGAGCAGGACTGGCGGCCGGCAGCAAAGACCGCCAGGCTGGCATCAAGACCCCGGGTGCAGCGAGTTTGCCAGACCTCAGCTGGGAAAGCTGGCATGCACTACGGCAGGGGGGACCCTGGTTGCTGAGCCCCCCCTTCTCTACAGATATCACCATCAAAGTGGAGGACCCTGACTGCCTGTCATCCTCCAGCTACCGGGATGTGGAGAACGAGCGGTTCCTTTCCTCCAGCTCCTCCACCGCCCGCCGTGTCTCCTTCAACGAGGCCGCGCTCTTCGACCAGGGCAAAAAGACCCAGGAGAAGGGGAGGAGGTGAAGCTCTGGGCTGGGGGGGAGGAGGGCCATGGGGGGCCAGGGCCACCCCTCCTAACCCGGCGTGCCCTGCAGGTACACGCTGACAGAGGGGGACTTCCACCACTTGAAGAACGCCCGCCTGACCCACCTGCACCTCCCACCGCCCGCCCTCAAGATTGTCACCATTCACGAGTGCGAGTCCAGCGAGAACAGCCTGGCCATGACCCCCCGCCTGCCCCCACCCAAGCCCGGCCTCGCCATCTTCCAGGTGAGCCCCCAGCACCCTGGGGGGATGAGGGACCAGTGGGACACGGCGGGATGGGGTCCAGGCATCCTGCAACTCCCCAAGGAGGCACCACTGGACCCGGGGTGGGAGTCTCAGGGCATCGCTGGATGCGGGGATGGGGGTCTCGGGGCGGGGAGGGGTCCTCTCCTGCTCCCCGACCCTTATGCAAAGCCCCCTGAGCGCGCTCTGCCTTGCAGCCCCCTGCGGGGGCCCTGCCCCAGCCGGCGATCCCCAGCCATGCCGTGTGCCCCAGCTCTGCCCTGCCTGGGGACACCTACAACTCCACCGTGGACACCAGCTTCACCGAGGCCAGCCCATCCGCCTCCTCCGACTCGGGGGAGGGCCCCTCCGTGAGTGCCGGGCTGGGGGGGGGGGCACAGGGCCAGGACCGGGCAGGGGAAGGGTCTCTCCAGCCTTGGCAGCCTGCGCAGCTCCGGGGAGCCATCCTGCCCCCACCCTGATTCCCCAGCACAGGGACGGCCCCATGCCCTCGGGGGGCTGCCTGCCCCCCTGCTCCATGCCAGGGCTCTGGGGAGAGATGTGGGCATCCAGCTAGAAATGGGCTCTGCCCCCCCCCGCCCCCCCCCGCTC